GCGGGGGCGAGCCCCCGTCGCGCGCGGTCACCACCACCTCATAGTTCGACACGCTCTCGCGGTCCAAGGCACTGTCCAGCACGAGCGAATAATAGTTCTTGAAGGTGGACACCAGCTTGAAAGGGACATGGGGAGATAGCAAGCAGGTCACCTGTCCGTTGGCGCCTGAGTCGCGGTCAGACACGCTGATCAAGGCGATGACTGTGCCCAGTGGAGCGTCCTCTCTGACGGGCAAAGAAAGCGACTTGACCACCAGCTCTGGGGCATTATCATTTACATCCACTACTTTCACTAAAACCTTGCAGTGACTTGACATTGGAGGACTTCCTTTATCAATTGCTTTCACCTGAATTTCGTAGGATTTTGTTTCTTCATAATCCAGGCTTCCAATTAGAGTAACTTCTCCAGAACTGGAATCAATTTTGAATTTTTTTTTTATGTTAAGGGGAACATCATTGGCAAAAGAAAAGACAATTTCGCTATTTACATCTTGGTCGGCGTCAGAGGCATTTAGCGTAGCCACTAACGTTCCATTGGCTGTAGTCTCTAATAAGTGGACTCTATACACAGCCTGGGAAAACAAGGGGGCGTTGTCATTATTGTCGAGCACCGTGATCAGAAGCTGAACTGAACCTTCTAGTTCTGGTTTGCCTCCGTCTCTAGCTGTCAGTAATAAACGAAGTTCTGGCATTTCTTCTCTATCCAAAGATTTCCTCAATTCAAGCGAAAGTGACTTACTGAGTTCATCACTTGCCTGTACATCCAAGGAGAAATAATCGCTGGGGCTGAGGGTGTATGTTAGAAGAGCGTTGGTGCCTACGTCTGCGTCAGCAGCGCCCTCTACCGGAAAACGCGAGTTCAACGGACTAGATTCGGAAATAAACAACCTTTGTTCTCTTGCTTTGAAGAGAGGTGGATTGTCGTTGATGTCCTTCACCTCCACCTCCACGTGGAAAACCTGCAGCGGCCTGTCCACGATCACCTCCAGGTGGAGGCTACACTCCGCGCTCCGCCCGCACAGCTCCTCCCGGTCGATCCGAGAATTCACAAACAAAATGCCATTCTGCAGATTTACCTCCAGAAGGTCGCCGCGGCCTTTGGACGCCACCCGGAACAGGCGGGGCACCAGGTCGGCCAGCTCCAGCCCCAGGTCCTGGGCGATGCGGCCCACGAAGGTGCCGTGTTTGGCCTCCTCGGGGACCGAGTAGCGGACCTGGCCGCTCCCCGCCTCCCAGGCTGAGAGGAGCAGAAGGGAGAGCAGCAGACGCGAGGCTCCTATGCTTCCTCGCCTGGAAAACAGCATCGCAAAAACACTACGTAGACCTTTCGTCTTGCTCTCACCTTACTTCAAATTCCTGCTTTTTTACTTCATATTCTCAGTAATTTCTCTCCTTAACGTTTTTGTCTTCTTTAGGGCGGTGGCAAAATGGTGCCTTCCTCCTTTGGCTTTAAGTCATCAGTACCTCAAATACATGAACAGGACTTTGTGGTATACAGCGACATCATGTGGCTAGTGCTGTAGATTTTAGATCCGTTCTTGACTTCCAGAATCGTTTATATTCATTTGCAATACTCAATGCAATCATTTTCAATTTCAAGTCCTTTCAAATACCAGGACATTTCAAAGGTTATTTTAAAGTATCTAATTCAGTATGTTCTTTCAGTTGTTATTATTGGGTAGAAATCAAGAGACAGAATGCAACATAATCTTATACTTTTTAATTTAAAATTAGGTATCAATTCCTACTTTTATTATTACATATTTGTAGCTGAATACTGGAGTTTTAAAATAAGGCACACATTGATCATTTAGGTCCCCCATATGCTAGGATATTTTATGTTTATTGTTTGACATACCATTACCAAGTACTTACATGTGAAATTTTACAGATACATATACTATATGTCAATGTTATATGACAAACATAATATATGATATGTGAAAGCTTAGAAAAAACTTTTTGGGACATTTCTCTTTATTGCTTGTTATAATCATCTGAATGGTGAACTTATAATTTCATTCCAAAAGCTACAACTTCAAATTGAGATAGTGTCCATTGAATATTCCTACATCAAAACTTCAGCTGTGCTTTATTTCTTATTAAGACACAAAAATGTCAAATAAAATATTTATTGAATTAAAAATAATGTGAAATTAATATCAATATTAAATTACGTACCTAAGAATCTTACAATCACCCTTAACAAAAAAGTAAATATGAAGATAGGTTCTTAGACGAAACTATTTGAGAATAACACCAATACACTCCTTCTCAATTTCATAATCAGAACCAATTAAAAAACTAACTTAGGGCCCTCCCTGGTGGCGCAGCGGGTTAAAGCACTGCACTAAGAAGCTTAAGCCACTTCCGCATGAGTTCGATCCCCGCCTGCCCCGGAGGTGTCCACATGGCGTGGCAGACCTCTCCTGACGCGCCCACTGCTCCCCTCAGCAGTGTACTTCGTCCATCTGCCTGTTCTGCTCCCCACTCTGTCCCTAGTGAATCCTCTCACTCTCCGCATCTCCAGCCCATACCCAGTTCTGTATGAATAAATAAATAAATCTTAAAAAAAACTAACTTAAAATGTGATCTGCATAAAACTTTCACTAGTTTATTAAAACTGAAACACAAAACAACACTTAGGTAAGGACTTCATTATCAAACGATATACAAATTAAAGGCCATATAATACTATCCTTAAGTGACAAAATATAATACTTTGGGGGGAGAAAAGGTAATCAGATTAGTCATGTACTTATCAAATGAGACTCCAGGACAGATTTTGCAAAAGCATGTGGAAGACAAACTAAAGTAGTGAGAGAGGATCCCATTGCATCAATACTGGCTGGCAACATGAGAATTAACCTTGTCCTTTTTATTGTTACTGTCACAAACTTCCCACCTGGAATTTAAATGTCTTATTCAGATTTCATACAATAAACACATTTTTCACTTTTTAGTTTTCCCCAAGAGTTGTTATATCTGACAAAGACAACTTCCTTTCTCAAGCAGTTGTTACCCTAAAAATAATTCCCCTGTAACACGAACTGATCTCAGATATAAGAAAATAGATCAGAATCTTCAGAAATTCTATTATTAAAGATATATTTTATTAGACCTAAAAGGTATTCTTTTAAAAGGGAAACATTATATATTTAAACTTTAAACATTCTGTATGCATTTACACAAGTTATGTTAGTATAATTCTCAAATTAGAATGCTATAACTTTAAGATAGTAAATGTAATGTCTATGGTAACCACAAAGAAAATAACTCTAGATTTTTTTTAAAGGAATGGAAATATTTTACTAGAAAAAAATAATAAACATGAAAGGAGAGAGTAATGCAAAAATGAGAAACAAAAAAGCTATAAGGTATATACTGATAAAAGTAATTCCTCAAGACTTAACAAAATAAACATGTATACACTATGAGCCAAAGCTAGCAACTAAAGTAGGTACCCCGCATCCTGGTCCCAGTTAAAGGGTGCAAACTAAACGTCAGGATCTAGTTGGGCTGTTCCTTTGAAGAGGCTGTGCCCAGGCAGGTAAAATGCTGTCTTTTGAAAAAGCAATGTTTTAGTAAGTGCTGCCTCCAGACAAATCAGTAACTTCAAAGAATGTCAACTAAAAGGCATGTGTGATATTGCTAAAATTCACAGTTCCTGGGTAAATTTTAGCAATCCTCTTTGTTTTCCTCTATGCACAGATGTTTGACCAGACAGATACATTAACTGGACCCCTACCCAGATCTTCTTTGTAGAAATCCTTGAAATGTTTCATGTAACCTCCCTATAAACTGTGTATGATTTCCACTGAGTAGCTCAGAATTTAGGCAGCTATCTAGAGACTGTTCCCAGGCTTGAGTCCTTATCTTTGATTTTTTAATAAACCCACTTACTTTTTCTTGCCTCAACTTATTTTAGCCAACACTGCCAAAACACAGATCTCCTGAAATATGTGAAGCAAAAACTGATAGAAATGAAGAGAGAAATAATTAGTTATATAATAATAATTGGATACATGTGATTATATTAATAAATGCAAAAAAATTTTTGAGAAAATCCAATATTCATTCATGGTGAAAAATCCCAGCAAATTAGGAATAGAGAAGGACTTTCTCAACTTGATAAATAGTCACAAAACACATATATCTGACATCATAATTAACAGTGAGAAACTCAAAGCATTCCCAATATGATTAGATGCAAGGTAAATATTTCCCCTCTCATCATTACTTTTCAATATTGTCCTGAAAACTCTACTAATGCAACAATATGAGAAGTGGAAATAAAAAAGATGTAATCAGACTGGAAGAAACAAAACTGTCTTCTTTCAGAGATAACATGATCATATATTCAGAATATCTGAGAGAATCGACAACAACAACAACAAAAAACCTCCTGGAACTGGATAAATGATTAAAACAGCAAAAACTGGGCCAGAAGCATACAGATGGTAAATAAACAAATGAAGTGATATTCAAATCATATATCATGCAGAAGGTGCAAATTAAAACAAAAATGAGATGGTGCCGCACACCTATTAGAATGGCCAAAACTCAAATACTGACAAAACCAAAGGCTGACAGTATACAAAGCTACAGGAATTGCAAATACTACTGAGGATTATAAAAATGGTACAGTCACTTTGAAAGATAGTTTGCAGTTTCTTATAAAACTAAGTATACTTCTATTTCACAATCCAACAATTATGCTCCTTAGTATTGATCCAAGGGAGCTGAAAATTTATGTCCACATAAATCTGCACAGAATGTTTATGTCAGCTTTATTAATAATTGCCAAAATACCCTGCCATGGATGAATGAAAAAATGAACTGTGGTACATCCAGACAATGGAATATTATTTCACACTAAAAAGAAGTGAGCTCAAGACATGGGGGAACCTTATATGCATATTACTACATGAAAAAAACAAAATGAAAAGGCAACATATATGATTACAACACTATGCATGACTTTCTAGAAAATGCAAAATGATGGCAACAATAAAAAACAATCACTGCTTACCAAAGGTTGGGAGAGGGGTGGATTGCTAGGCAAAGGGCAAAGCATTTTTTAAAATAATATAAAAGTTTATTATTACATCATCTTGTACCTTTTCCCATCTCAGTTGTAATCCCCATCGGCTTCCCACCACCAAATCACCAGAAGAGTACAGAGGATTTTTAGAGCAGTGAAAATACTTTCTATACCATTATGATGGAGACATATGAGCATACATATTTACATAGAATGTATACTACTAACCTGAAACATAATGTAAACTATGAATTTTAGATGACAATGATGTGTTAATGCAGGTTTACCAATTGGAACAAGTGCATCACTCTGACGGAGGACGTTGATAATGGGGGAGGAGCTTTAGGGTGTAGGCAGAGGGTATGTGGGAAATTTGTGTACCTTCTCAATTTGGCTGTGCAGCTAAAATTTCTCTTAAAAAGCAAATGTACGGCCCTCCCTGGTGGCGCACTGGTTAAAGCACAGCACTAAGAAGCTTAAGCCACTTCCGCATGAGTTCGAGCCCTGCCTGCCAGGGAGGTGACCACATGGGGTGGTAGACCTCTCCTGACCCTCCCGCTCCCCTCAGCAGTGTACTTCTTCGATCTGCCTGTTCTGCTCCCCACTCTGTCTCTGGTGAAGCCTCTCACCCTCCGCATCTCTGGCCTCTACCCCAGTTCTATATGAATAAATAAATAAATCTTTAAAAAAATTTTAAAAAACAGATATACAATTAACATAGTAAAAAGGCAAACTACAGAATATGACAAATCACATATCTAATAAGGAATTAATATCCAGAGTACAATAAGAACACCTAAAAATCAACAATAAGATACAAACTGATTCAAAAAAGAGCAAAGAATGGAACAGACATTTCTCCAGAGAAGATTTACAAGTGGTCAATAAACTCAACATCACTAATCAGTGAAATGAAAATCAAAATTACAATGAGATAACACCGCATACCTATTAGAATGGCTACTATGAAAAAACATATCATGTGGAGCAAACAGAGCCCTTGTGCACTGTTAGTGGGAATGGAAAATAATACAGCTACAATGGAAAATAGTAGGTTGGCTCCTCAAAAAAAAATAGCATTACCATATGATCCAGTAATCCTTCTCCTGGTTATATACTTAAAAGAACTGAACACAGGTCTTAAACAGCTACTTTGTACCAATTTCATAGACACATTGGTCACAACATCTAAAATAGGGAAACAGGGCCTTCCCTGACAGCGCAGTGGATTAAAGCACAGCACTAAGAAGCTAAAGCCACTTCAGCATGAGTTCGATCCCTGCCCCAGATGTGATCCACATGGCGCGGCA